TGGAAGTAGCAGGGTTCCCAGCATTGTTTGCTACTTTTTTTTAATGATTTTATGACAAATTTTTCAAATTTTATGACACTTTTTATGACAAGAATTTATTATTTCTTAAGTTATTTTAATAAAAAATAAAACGGTTTATTATATAAAAATAAATATTTTTTCTCGCATCAAAATAAATATTTCTATTATATTTTTAATATATGTTACTTTAGTATCTTACTATAATAGGTATTATAATCTCAAAATAAATAAAAAAACCGCATACTATTTTTTTTTTGCTTTTTTGAGACCCATGTTAATCATTGTTTGAGCCTCCAATATTTTAGATTTTTTAAGAGTAATCTTATTGTTAAGGTACTTAGATAATTTCTTATTTCCTTTAGAAATAAAATTTCTTGCTATTTTTAACTCTGGTTCCTAACTTGCTAAACTACTATCAATTTCTTCAAGTCCTTCTTTGCGTTTGCGCTTTCTGCCTTCCTTTTATAAAGTAATATAGTATAAAAATAACTTTACCATTCTCATTATTTATTTCAAATTTTGAAATTCCCATAGATTAAACAAAGTTTTCCTTCATAGTATGAAGTTTATACGTCAACAACCAAGGCCGTTTTTAAAACATTATTGCGTTTTATTTTTAACAAAATTTCCATTCTATAAAAAAGATCAAAGGTGAGAAAATTGTTCAAAAATAATGAAATTTTATGATTTCTATGACAAAATGTAGTTTTTATGACATTTTAGGACAATTTAACCTATTTTATGATATTTAAAAATTTTATGACAAACGGGAACCCTGAAGTAGATAATAATAGATTACAGGGTGTTTTCCTATAAACGTATAAAATTTGTATTTAAAAAAATATTAAAAAATTAAAAAATCCAGCTTGCATGGTTTAAAAAAGTTATTTCTTAACAAAAATTAAAAAGCATCGGTAAAATGAATATAAAATTGTTTTTTTCAATGAAACATTTTTAAATATTTAGATCGATTTTTTTATTCTAATTTCAAAAATATATAATTTGTGTAATTTTAATAATAACACAAATATATACAGTGTTTATTATAAACACACTAGACTGGGCCAAAAAATCAACTATTTTTTTTTTGAAAAGTATTGCGAAAATATGGTTTGGGGCGACAAAAAAAATTATTGTGAAAGTTTGAGTCCTTAATATTATTATTAAGAGATCTATCATCGCAATTTTTTTTCCCTCATCAAGTTCTTGTCTCAGAACTCCCAAACCATTGAGTTTAACAAAATTTACTTACAAAATATTTTTTAAGAAAATTAAATGCTCTACAAAAAAGGTTAAATAAAATTTTTCGTCAGATGAACCGTTTCCTTAAAATCATGCCCTAAACATTGGTATAGTTTTACACTTTGATCTTTTAACTTTGGAATTTTGAAATTCACGTAAAAATCAGTACCCATAAAAAAGTCAAAACGAAATTCTTGCCAAATTTAACCTTGAATAACTTTTGATGGAGTGAATTTAGCCAAAAATGTTAAGAGGCTTGTTTTGTAAAGCATTTGATTTCACATAAGAATATTTATCGGTTTTTTATGGGTACTGATTTTTACGTGAATTTCAAAATTCCAAATTTAAAAGATCAAAATGTAAAACTATACCAATGTTTAGGGCATGATTTTAAGGAAACGGTTCATCTGACGAAAAATTTTATTTAACCTTTTTTGTAGAGCATTTAATTTTCTTAAAAAAAATATTTTTAAGTAAATTTTGTTAAACTCAATGGTTTGGGAGTTCTGAGACAAAAACTTGATGAGGGAAAAAAATTAAAATTGCGATGATAGACCTCTTAATAATAATATTATGGACTCAAACTTTCACAATAATTTTTTTTGTCGCCCCAAACCATATTTTCGATACTTTTCAAAAAAAAAAATAGTTGATTTTTTTGGCACAGTCTAGTGCACACTATATAGGTATTTTTTAAACCTGAAAAACAACTATTGAAATATTGATTTTCTGACTTAAATAATATATATGTTTTTTAATATTAAATCGACATTTTTCCATCACAGGAAAAAAAAGTGCATTATACATCAGTGGGTAAAAATATTAAATATAAACTCTCATTGTTTTGCACACAACACAACCTCGAGCTAAATTCTAATACTTTTTTCCTTTGTATAATAAAAAATATGAAAATTACTTGTAAAAATCATTATTTTTTCTATTCAGCATTCTTCACTATTATAGTGGGCAAAAATTGTTATAAAAATAATTTATTACTAATTAATTAATATTTGTATGGAGCGACATCTATACAGGGTGATTCACCTAACTTATTCATTAGAAGTTTATGGAGAACGGAAAAAGATATTAATTTGAAATTTGTATAGGCAATGTAAACTATCCCTATACCTAAAATAATTATTTACAGAGTTATTACAAAAAAATGTGAAAAAACTGCCTACAGTTCATTTATTTTTATTTGGTTGGTAGCTTATGACAGTTTGATTTGGTATTTTTAGTAATTAAAAAATGGTACTTCTGCTGAAGACCTTAATTAAATACTCTGACACTGTCAAAATGACAGTAATATGGATATAAAAAGATAACTAAGCCAGATTCTTAAGTAAAAGAACTTTTAAGGTTAAAACTTCATATCAATGAAGTTATGTCAAATGCCTCAATGGCAGAAAAACTACATTGCGTTATGGACATTTTTGGAGTAAAAAAGTAACGGTTTTGGTTTTACAAATATTACACAATTTCTTTTATATAAATTCTTTTCAAAGCGAAGATTATTATCCGATAGGAATACTTTCTCTCCTGGGCCGTAGTCACCTATATTTAACTACTTTTTATATGATTTTACTCATCTACGCAAGAAATTTTGAGAACAACTTTTGAAGGTGTCTTGCGACGTATCAATATGTGTCGCGAACAATTGAACAATTACCTTAGATTTGTTTTATTTGTTTATTTTTTTAATATATTTTTTAAACTTTAAATTAATAATTCTTTTAACGTTGTTTAATACGAAATAAAAACAATCCAACGCACAATACTAATATTACCAATCTATGTTTCAATTGTTCTTTCTAAAACTTTTCCGCACTCGCCATATGTATAAAACATGTTTAGAATATATTGATTAGTGTAATTATTATCACCCATTGTAACCACATGATTGTAACATAATTGTCAGAGATGTTGACATTACTTCATAAATACAAAATAAAAGACAATCCAAGCACACCATCCATCTGTCAAAACTTAAAAAAAAATTAAATATTTCAAAACTATTAAAAATAAAAAAAATCAAATTTTAGTATTACTAGAATTTTACTTAGAATTTGAAAATGCAATATTTATATGGTTTCATTTGAAAAACCAAAGTCGATATCACCGGAAGTGATAACGCTTTGAAAATATTTTTTAAAAATAGTTTACATTGCCTTATAATTGCTATACAAATTTCAATTCGATCTGTTCTCCATAAACTTCTAATAAAAAAGTTAGGTGAATCACCCTGTATAATTGTCGAATTTTCCTGTAAAAATCAAAATTTCTCATTTAAAGACTGAAACCGTTTAAATCCGAAGTAGTTTTTTACAGCATCTAATATAGAAACTATTTAATAATTTTGTATTTTTGTATTGAAATAATAAAATAATTTCCACATTTTAGTATTATTTCACAAAAAGGGCACTTTATTTTGACGATTATATGTAGAGATGCGACTTTAAAAAAAACCGTCCGTTTTTTTTCAGGTTTTTTTTTTCAAATGGTTTTTCAAGCACTTTTTTTCATGATTTTTCAAATTCATTTAGAGTATGGAAAAAAACAATAGCAAATTTTTGTAGAATATTTATTCATTGGTGGTTAAGTCCGAGGTTAAGTCAGAACATTCCGTGGACCAAAAAAGAAAGCCAAGCAATTTTTTTTTTATTACGGTATTCCTTAGGATTAAGCGTTGCACGTTTTTCATCTAAAAATCTAAAAACTAGAAACTTCAAGCTTCAAATTGCTTTTTTTACGGCTCCAATACGACCATTTTTAACGAAGATACAGCTATCCGAAAAATCGCAAAAAAATTGGAATTTTTTTAATCCTTTAATTTTTTCTATTAGTGTAGAAGTTTTACATTGCTATTGGTTTCTTATGTGGAAACTACCAAATAATAAGAAATCAGATTTTTTAGTCTCAGTCAAAATTTTCTATTCATTGTAGGTAATGAAAAATGTAATATATTCTACATTTCACTTTATTATTAATATAAATTTTACTCAAAATTTCATTTTGAAAAATTACTCCGTTTTTAAGATTGATGTTATTTATTGACAGAATATGCTTTATTGTAGGGGATTTGAAAAAAAACCGTTTTTTTCATATTTGAAAAAAAAACCGTTTTTTTATATCTTCAGCCTTTGACTAAAAAAACTGAAAGTCGCTGCTGCTAACTTCAGCTTGTGACTAAAACGCCATAAAGTCACAGCTTGTCAATGTGTATGTAAAAGATCACTTGATGTCATGGAAACATTTTAAAGATGTGTTACAGGTAAACACTTTACATTAAAAATAAACACATACTTATTTGTATAATATATGTCTGATATAAATCAAGATTTTTAACGGAAGCGTTAAATTTAATGGTTTTTAAAACGTGATTATTTTTTATTAGCATTATAAACATTTAATGTTAATGTTAAATAAACATGATTATTTTGTAAGTCTCTACATACTAACTTCAACAAATAATGGTATTATTTATTAGTCAAATATTAAATATTTACTTTACACTTAGGTATGGTACTTAAATAGGCATTGATTTCACTAAAGATAGTAAGTCTCAGTATGGACCCTTGAGGCACCTCAAACTAAGCAACCTGGTTATTTTGTGTTGGTTGGCAAACTTGCAGTACCAGAGGCAATTCTACTCCAAAAAAATTACGAAAAAATTGCAGCAAATTTTGAAACGTATAGAAAATAATTTTGTTACCGTTCTCGTTTGGAATTACACGTACATAAATGTCTTTTACCTGACTCGCAGGACCAACCCTTATTTCTCCTGTTGTGGTAGTCGTCGCCATGTTCTAAGATTAGGTACGGGACTTAAAAATTTCGAAAAAGATTTTTTCGAAAAATTTTGTTTGATGATTTTCTTGTTTTATTTGGAGTGTTGATCACATTTTCTGTAAAAAAATACAAAATTAACTCTTACAGTTGACCAAAATTTAATTTAATTTAAACTTAATAGCCTAATTAATTAAATTTGACAGATTAAAAAACAGGTTTTTCGCTCTGTTTTTTGTTCACATTAAAGTTAATTATCCGTAAACGTCATATTAATTTTTTAATTAATTATCAACATATAAAGATAATATATAACATTCCCAACAATAAACATTTTACAAAAATTTGGCAAAAAATAGCCAGAAAACGAGATATTTAACAAAATGTCAAAGTTAAAAAATCGTCTTTTATTTCGCGACTAATAAACCTCCAAAGTACTTAACAAAATATAAATAAACAGCATATCAAATCAATTACAAAGTTAATTGGCAATCTACCAATAAACGTACATAAAACTTTAATGAAAAACTTGCAGTCGATAAAATAGCGTAAAAAACCCATAAACTCGAATTTATAGCCTTTAATTATATTTAACGTCACTTCAATTTACAAGAACAATAAAACTGCTTTCGAAAATCGCGAAATAATAATTTTACAACTCACACCTAAGTGCCTAGGTGAAAACAAATGACTACACAACTGTCAGAATGCAATAAAACAAGTTATTTTGCCAAAATAATAAATTGTAACCCTTGTGTTATAAAGGCCATCAAATATTTAAAATATTGCACAAAAACATCTGTATACACGATAAATACTCACAAATACACGATAGTTATTTAATTATCCGCAGTTGAGCACATTTACGTGCAAGTTTAAACCAACATTTAAGATCAAAACCGCTTTGAATACAGAAACAAAACAATACGTACCTCAGCTAAGATTTCCGTGTTATACACAAGACTTTTTAAAGTCAAATTACGCGCAAGATCGTCACAAAAAACGCACGCACTTTTCTCTAAACACACCCGCACTATTTACAATCACTTTAACAGCAATTTCGAGCATTAAAAACTCATTTTTATTTACAAAATCCAAGAAAAACACAACTTTACAAATTATCGATCTCAGGCGGCCATTTTAGTAGCAGCTTCCTCCATCGTGAGCGGTACCAACCGAAGTGGTAAGTATATGAGCGGTACCAACCGAAACGACATCTAGCGTGAAAACACCAAGTTCTTAATGCGATAAAATTGCGTTAAATTGATTATTTATCGATGTTTTAGTAATTATAAGTCTATAAAATTTTATGTCAATTTATTTATGAGCTATTTCTTGATTGTTAATTATGGGTTTTGAAGGTGTGACGTCATTTTTAATACCAACTTAAATAGTTTGAATTGTTGTCATTTTTTGACATAAGAACTGTCAAATATTAAACATAAATTGAAAATATGTTTTTATGATTGTTTTGTTTATAGGAGCGTAAAATACGGGGGAAAATGGATGAATTTAAGCAAAAAATACTTGGTTTGCTTAATAAACAGGTATTTATAGGGTTATATCATAGATTTTTGAAATATTTTAATAAATTTTATGTTTAAGCCTGCGAAAATTCCTTCCATGGGATTTGATGATGCAAACTATCATTTTCCACAAGTTTGTACCTTATCTATTAATAGTAAAACAGTGCAGGATATTGATAGACCAGCCGATCAGGATATTTTAGAAAGTATCGAAGCTGCCTACTTTTCAATGAACGAAAGCTATGATATTTGCAGATTTGAATTGAGCGTAAGTTTCTTTTACGGTTAAAGTGTTTTTGTTTTGATTTAATTGTTTTAGAAACTCCCTGAGGTGTTGGAATGTGACCAAATTCAACGGGACTTCAAAAATCTTAAAGTTCAACATTCAGTGGTTTCAAAAAAAGTCCTGCAATTAATATTAGAACAGCAAAGCGGTTGCAAAAGTGAGTTTGAGAAAGTCGTGGAAATTTTAGAGCTAGTTCGTGAAACTTTGGAGTTATGTAAAAACTCCAGAAAAGAGTTGAATATAGCTAATAGACAGTTCAATGCTAGTTTGAGTATATTAGCAAATCATAGGAAGAGGAAATTGGCACAAAATTTACTGGGAAATCTCACAATGATCAAAAATTTGGTAAGAAAATTTGTTCATTTCAGTTAATTTTACCTTAATTTTATTTTTTTTATGTCAAAAGTTAAATATTTTCATTGACTTTCAGGAAATGTTAACATTTTATTTGTATTACTATTTTTTGAGATAATTATTAATTGGCAAACATTAAGGGTTATTTTCTACTGTCTTAAAAATTAACACTATTTAATAGGTTGGAACTTGGTTTATTTAAAACATATTTAAAAATTTAAATGTTAAATTAAAGATTATTTTATTAACTTTAAGATTATCTTCCACTGGTATTTTTAAGATAATTGAGTCCATAGATATGTATCTAGGATTGAGTCCTTTAAATTTGAAATGTTTTGATAGACTGTAACTTGGTTAATACAGATTTTAATGTATCAATTTATCAAAATAATAGTAAAAATATTGATTGGAACATTTTTTTGTTTTTCTTAATAAACTAGGTAGGTACCTATTAAATTTAAAAGGTGATAACTCAGTTAATTTTTAACAAATTTTATGTTTTCTTATGTTAAAAGTTGGGTAATTTTAAAATGTTAATTTTTCCCTGTTTATTTTTTGAGATAATTAAAAAAATATAAAGACGCGTTATTTTCATGTCATTTTAAAAATTTGACAAACTGACAGGTTGTAACTTGCTTAATTTTTAAGTTATTTTTATATTTATATATCAAATTAAAGAAAATTTTATTGACCTTAACATAAAGTAAATATCTTAGTATGCCCTAGTACATTTTCTTAGAGATACAGAACAAAACACAACTCAATTTTAATTTGTATAGTGTAAAATTTATAATAAAATTATTTTAGCATAATTTTGATAAAAAATGTCAACAATTGCTACAAAATGAAGACTATGGTTTGGCCATTATGGAATTGAAAAAATGTCAAAAAACAGCTATAAAATATAGGCATTTTACTTGTGTAGCGGCTTTGACTTATAAGTTACAGGAAACATTAGAAAATACAGATACACATTTGGATAAAGTCCTATCACAGGTATTTATAATCTAAAATACATTAAAAATATTTAAAATAGTTAATTTGGTTATAAAACATGAGACAAATATATAACAAGATAATAATAATATTTGACATTTTAAAGTTAAAATTTTGACAGATTACAACTTTTTTAATTTTTGACAGAAATTAAAAACGTTAATGTCAAATTGTATATGGTTTTATTGACTTTAAAGTAATGTCAAAATATAATGCTGTCTAGTTTTGATTGTTTGAGAAAATTGACAAAGTATGATGAGATGTCAATTTCAATACCCTAAAGAAGTATCGCTAGTAGCGCCACCACTTGGCAGTTATCATCGTAACAAAAGTTATTATTAATAATCAGCTGTCAAACGCTTTTGTTACAAACGAGTGTTTTTGAGAATAAAGCCGGAGAATATTAAAAAACATCGAAAAAAACGTGGCTCGATTTGTTGTGTTGTTGGGTGTATTTCGAGAGGAAATCCTGGGTTGAGTTTTTGCCGGTTTTCCAATAAACAGTGTTAATCTGAATGAAGAAATAAATTGCATACAGTCTCTGTAAATATAAATTAGATACAATAATAAACATTTTAGTAGTGATTAACGTGAAAAGTGTAAACATTTCAATTCAGTAAAAATCGTCAAACAAATAAGTCGTCTAAATTTAAACAGCATTTAGCATTATTAAAAGCGTTGATTAAGAATTCTTTAAAGTCTCCTCTCAACGGTAAAATATCATTATATCATATATTAATATAATATTATGTTGCCATGAATTTGTAGGTATATTTTGTTGTTTAAAATGCGTTTTTTAGAGAACTCAAATATAAAAATCGTTGATTTTAAGGTTATGTTTGTGCAAAAATTATTTTTTACTAATTTCTTAAAAATGTCCAAACTTAAATATAAATTTTACCTATTAGGTAAAGTTATCATTAGTTAATTCTGCACCAACAAATGTATTTACCGAATTGGATCCTTTGGAAAAGCATGAAAATGCAACGATTTAGTTCTTGAATTTTATTTACAATTAAAAACAAAGTAATTCACCATGATCCCTTTGATAAAATACACACACTAACGTAACTATATAAGCATTTAAGCGTTTAGTTTCTTAACCAATGATATAAGGAATAATCAATCAAAATCTAGTGCTAAAAAAGTTTTTTAAGTTTTTCTATATCATACAAATTTTACATATTTTGACAGACTGTGTTTTGGTTATTTTTTCAGCGATTTTAACTTTTTATATGTGAAAATAAACAGATTATTTTTTTGTCTTTAAGAGAATATTAAATATTTATATGTTTTATAAAATTTTTGTTGAGATATTTGAGAGAGAAAAATCAATTTTTTAGATGTGTTTTGATTTTGAATCCGACCGTTATAGTAAGCTAAAAACGGCTTTTAATTTGCTGGATAAATCCGATATTATCATGATCGATAATTTACATGTACATTTTATAACTGCTATTTATAACACATCTTTTAACGTGGTACATTCCTATGTAACTTCTGGGGATATTTTGGATTCCAACGAAAATACTGGAAAAAATCCCTATAAAGTTTTATGTCAGGTTTGTTTTATAATATATATACTGAGTGTTTTTACATACAATTATTACATTTTAGTCTGTTGGACAACATGTTTTTATTCCTTGTTTAATTCACCTATGTAAAGTATTGTTTAGAATAGTGTTAAGCTATCACAAATTGGTAAAATATTACAATAACAATGAAAATGAATTTAACCCAAATTTGGACGTGAAAAATAACTTAATAAAGGAAAAATTGGACCATTATTTAATTAAAATTTGGGATGACGTTCAACGCAAAGTTTCCAGCTTATTGTTAAACTTTGACATGGCTA